ACGAGAACATAAACGACTGTTTTCACAAGTAAGACCTACCCGCTCAACTAGGCCGGGAATATTGTGAATTAAAATTTGTGCCTTCCTACGTTTGCAGGGGCTAAACATGCATGCGTGATAAAAAGTGGTTAGAACCCCGGGTTCCCGCTCCAGCCGCCTCCACGTGGTCAAGTGGCGGGCCAGGGAGTTCATGGGGTTCTCGAGCGAAAAGTAGCGCCCATTTCGATGGGCTTCCAAGCACCTGTCAGCAGCAAGTTCGCCATGTCGGTGTCGAGGGACAACTTCCGTCTCTTTGCTACCGGGAGGTCCTGGACTACACCTGGTATCCCCTCAGGGAAAGACTCGCTCCTGAGGGGTTTAGGAGGGTTTGTTACTCCGGGGATAGGGTATTCCCTCGCCCGAGAAAAAGTGCAGCAGTTGGGTGCCCAGTGCTGGACTTCGTGCAACGCGAGTTCCGAATCAAGTTCGATCCGGTCACGAAACACGTCCCTGCCCCGCAACAAATCCCAAGGACGCGCAACTCTTTTCAATCCTTTTCGGAAGAAGTTTGCCCTCACTCCAGGAACGGGAGTTGCGTCCGTCCTGGGGCGGGCGAGCCCCTATGGCTTCTTGCTGCCGCCCCCCTTATCCTTCGCGGGGTCGACCTTCGACTTTGCCGACGCTGACTTCTCCGCCTTCTTCTGTTCCTTTTGGGCCTTCCTCCAGCCAGGAGGGATTTCGCAACGAGGCTCATGCCGCTTCTTGCAAATCATGCACAACCGGGCCTTGTTCGCGTCATCCGTGGTCTTGTCGCTCTGGTCGTCGAGGTCACGCTTTCGGCCTCTACCGGGCTCAGCTCCGGCCGGCCCTTTCTTCTGCGACCCTTTCTCAAGCCCTTGATCCGGGAAGGACTCCGGTTGGGCTTGGAGGAGCTTCCATAGACCTTCTCCGTCTCCCAGCTCGGCATAGTGGCGGAGTCCCGCCCCCATTGAGCCTGCACCTTTTGCAATGACTTTCAGGACTTCGTTCATGATCTCCCTATCGCAGCGCCTGGCCTCGTTGATTGTCGGGGGCCTCATCCCATCTGGGACGGTTGCCCTCAAAGTGCCAATCAACTTATCCTGATACAGCACTGTATCTTGATGGAGAGCGACTTCCATCATGTGCCATGCCTTGGCCCTCAACTCGAGGACGTCTTTCAAGGTCAGGATGTCGGCAATCTTTGGAGTCTCCGGGAAGTCCTCGTCCTTCTCGTTGAGGGTCAGCTTCTTGTCGGAGATGACCACTTCCTTCTTATCTTTCGGCAACTTCCCAGCACGACGAAGCCTACTCTCCGTCTCCATGTCAACGTATGTTTCCCATGGGAGGTGCTGGAAATTCCCCCCAGGGCCAAAGTTGTTCTGGACCTTGCTCAGGGTATGCAGAGATGGCCTGTCTCTATCTGACATAGGTGGTGGCATCCCGGAGTTGATCGCCTTGTCCTCCAACTCCTGACCCAGGGCAACCGTCACCTTGGACTTTGACTCTGGGTCCTCACCTGCCATCCTCTCCATGTTCCTTTTTGCCACCTGGTTCGCGTAGGCCCACAACTTGCGCAAGCAGCCCACGTCCTCCGAGGAGCGATAGGTTTCCCAGCTTTCCACGGGATGCCTCGGGAACCCGGTCGCTGCTCCCCCTTCTGGACGATATGCCGCTCTAACACGAAGTTGCTTCTTCAGGTACTCGTCGAAGTCGGCGGCAGTAGGGAATCTGAAGGCCATTGCCTCCGATGTATTCACGTTGTCCAAGCCTAGAACCAGAAAATCCGATTCATGGACATCGAACGACGCTGCCGCCCTTCCGAACGCGATGGTAGACTTCGCGTCGGCCATGGCTACTTTAGAATTAGGACTCCCACTCGGGGCGACTGGGTGTAAGTCCCACTCGGGCCGCAGAGAACTCACAGGGGACAACTCGTGCAGACGTCTTCATCTAGCGGCACCTTCAATCACATCCAAACGAAAGGATATGGTTTCCCCCGTGGAACCTCCAGTTTTCTCATGTAAACTTGTAACCCCGAAGGATCTAGTAAACCTGCAAACCGGGACCGCATGGCTGCATGGCTCAATAAAAATCAACCGGCGCTTTAATTTTTGCACTAGGTATGAAGGAGGGGGAGATTTTACTCCCAGTCTCAGCGTCCACGGTTTCCTATCCCGCTCAGGCGAAGAGCCTACCTAAGCAGGTGCCCCATGGAACATGCACCTATGCCCGTCCAGCTTCAAGTCGAAATCTGGATCCTCTGGGCTCACGTGGCCTGGCACGGCCTCAGGGCAGCAGCGGCGCGAGCAGCGGATCATAAAGCCCTTCCGCTGTGTCTTATAGTCGCACAGCAGTTTGCATCCTTGGACTCTTCCAAAACAGCGCTCACAAAGGTCATACCCAGTTCCCCAGTCCTCATCGAGAACGAGCCGGGTGAAGCGTTTGCCCACCGCGTTGCATGCTGGCTTGTCTGCCAACACACCCTCTCCAGGCTTATGGATTCTTCCATATCCGGTGGCGAGCTGGATGAAGTGCGGGTGGAAGTCGATGTCGCCTTGCTCTGGGTCAATGAGCGAATCATCGGAGTCGTCGCCTGAGCTCAGAGAGCCGAGGTCCGAGAGCGCAGCATCTGAGAACTCCTGCGATCCCTCTCTGACGAACTCCGACTCTTGGTTCACCAGGCTTTGCAGACCTTCCTCGTCTCCTTCTCCTGCTCCACGAAGCTCGGGTCGCACATCCAAAGCCGCAGGCGCACGCTGGAGCTGCAACTCCGGATCCCCAGTAGCTGGGTTCTCGGTGCAGATCACGGCACGCTCCATGGCTCCTAGGAAAGGTTCTCCTCCTTGGAACTCGGGAACCTTCCCGGATAGGAGGTAATCATTGACGGTGCCCCAGTCTGGCTTTAGTGGTCTGTGATCCAGCGTTACGCCGGTCAGCGATTGAACGGCTGCTCCTCGTCGAATCTGATCCATCACGCGCCACTGCGCCTTCAGGACGATACTCTGCGATTCTCGCAGGTACAAATCGCTCATAGCCTGCGAGGCCTTCTTCCAGGCTCCCTGGTACCTCACTGTGCGTGGAGTGATCCCGAAATGAACCATGTATGAGGGGATCGTGTTCTTGCAAGAGTGCCACCGCAACTTCCTAATTGCAACCTCACTCAGCGGAACATCTTTACCTTGTTTAAGGTCGTCCAACAAGCACTTCTTGACAACGAGCGTATCCTCTGTGATCAAAGGTGGGCACGTGCGGAAGCCTCCCATACCATCCGATGCGCAGCCAACAAAATCGTGCTTCCTCCAACCTTCATCTCCTGAAAAGCCACTCGCCAAGTTGTGCATCCGAATCAGGAGGTCAACCCACACGAAAAGCCACTGATCGTTACTGGCAGTGACTGCCACCCAAGCGGCGGCCCATGGTCTGGGACCACTTTTGGTGTAGGCAGCCTTTGCCCTCAACCCCAAAATTTCTGTACGTCCAACCGGCCGGCACCACTCCACCGCGCTCATAGAAGTGCCACCTAGGTCGCTGTGTCGAACACTCGCCTGAATGCAGACTCTCAGCTTCCCGCAGGCAACCCTGGTCTGTAGATCTCTTCCTGAATCCAAAACCACGCTTTCAAGATACTCCAGCATGCCCACTTCAAAAAGGGGGGCTGGGTTGCGTTCAGGCGCCTTTACAGAGTAGTCATTAGCCATTTTCCGGATCCTAGCGTGCCTCGGCCCCGGAGTCTCGAAGCCGAAGACGCCACCGAAATGCTCGATTGCGTAAACAAGGCTCTGTGGGGTACGAAAACCTGCACCCTCTGAAATGAGCTGGAGGACAAACTTTTGCATGAAGCCTTCGCTAAAGAGATCCTGGGGTGCCTTCTCAGGGTCACATTGCTCCTGGTATGCGTCGACATAGCGCCTGAGCAACCTCACATAGCGAAGTCCCGTCCCGGCCGACCGTGGCTCGGTGAGGATGTGGAATCTATCCTCCAACAGCTCCCCACCTTCTACCACTGTCTCTACCAGGTCCATCTTTATTTTCAAAACGACCAGCTCCTCAAAGAGCGCCTTGGACAGAGAACGGAAGGTTTCCAACTTCTCAGTCTCCAAGGGATTTGACCGCGAAGGCAGCTTGATTGGAACATATCCGCCGGCCTGGTCGACGAGCTCCCACTCACGCTCCGGAGGTTCTGCCTTCTTTTTAAAATTCTTGAAGATACCGCTCTCCACCAACTCCGCTATAGGCTCCGAGGGCGTGTACTCGAACTCCGACTCTACCGCCTTCCCGCTCTTCTTATCAACATCTTTTGTTTCAGGCTTCGCCCAATCCGGCAACGTCTCAACTGGCGGGACTGCCTGCTTTCGGAAAGTCATACGGGGCCCATCTCCTTTCCGTGCCCACTCGGGCAAACCTGAGGAGCGGCCTCCCGCAGCCGAAGTTGGAGATACTGACACGGGGCTCCCATGTCCAGGTTTCTCCCAGGGAACTCCCCGGGGTGGTCCAGATCGAGATGTAGTAGAGCTCACCCCCGTATCTCTTCCTGGGCGTGGGGTGGTACTGCTCCCAGGAGTAGACGAGCCAGAGTGGGGAACCGCCTGCTCAAAAGGGGGGAGGGGAAAATCTCCCTCCTCTCCCTTTCGGATCTCGCTCAGAATCTCTCTAGCAGGAACTCCCGCCTCGATCATCTTCGCGATCTCTACGCGCGCCGCCCACGCGCCGATGGCCATCAGTCCTGAGGTCTTTCCCAGCTTTGCACTGCCGGGTCGAGGCGACAGAGCTGCCTCGGACCTCTTCATCTGATGGCCACGTCCCCTCTCCCACCCGGCCATTCTCCCCCCGCTGTAAACAACGAGGAGGATGGCTGGTGGGCTTCAAGCCAAAATGGCCACATTTTGGTTGTGCTAGACGAACATTCACGATAGTACCCAAGGGCACAACTGGTGTTAAGTCCCTAGGCCAACCTAACCGATCAACGAACATCTGGGATGAGAAACAACCAACCCAGCCGCCTCCCATGATGGAGAGGATCAAGTTCGGCGTGCGGAGGCCCCACTCCTGGGCGTTCGGACTCCGCGCCCGATCCGCCCAGGACGCCCGTGAGTCCGTGGTGATCGGCAGAGTCTCGCCATTGGAGTTCGACAAAGACACGGAAGCTAAGATATGCCAAGATAACGAAGAAACGTTCTTCTATATGGACCTTCGGCCCGGACGAATCATGGTCTTGAGAGGTGTGATCTCTTCATCCAGTCTCAGATGTTCGATGTTCGGATTCGTCTTCAGTTTCAAGGCCCCGGGCTGGCAAGATCACACAGTCAAACAAGTCCTCCGGATGAGAGCTGTGAGAGATCAGGCAGTACCTGAGCCAGAGCTCCACAACTTGAAGGTCTGAGCCTGAGCCAGATTCTTCTGCAAACAAACAGCCTGTGAGAATCCCACCCCGGCATGCAAAACAGGAGCCACAACGATGTTTTCCCAGTCTTCTCCCCCCCCCAACGGGCCCTCGGCCCAGGGAGACCGTCGTCCGTCGTCCGTTTCGTCTCCACTGGGCGCCGCAGGCGGCGACGTGCCACCATCGAAGGCGATCTCGGCCGCCGCCCAGTTGCTACGCTGTGGAGGGCGCAAAGTGACCTGCCGTGGTCGGTCGACTGTGGGCGACCAGGTGCTTGGGGGGGAGTGCTCTGGGGTGCTGGGTGTAGACCACTGAGAGTGACCCCTATCAAATCTATTCAAATCTGAGAGTGGCCGTCCGGGAAGGCCAAGCTCATGACGTAGAAGTTGGATTCTGCACGGAAGAGATTGTTCATTCAAGAGGCTGGTATACTGGCTGGATTCTTCAATTGATTGGAGTGTTTGAAGCTTCGATACTTGCGGATTGCTCAAGAGTGTAGGCATTTGACATAACGCAACATTGCGGGCTTAGTGGTGGATTTGATTGATGCTTAATGCATGCATTCTGCATTCATACCAAATGCTCTAGCAATAAATAGAGTAATGTAGCTACGCACCTCAGAATGGGGTCCTCACTCGAATGTCTCACTGGAGTTCGATGTTACAATGTTTGCTTCATCCTCCATTTGAGGGGTGCCCAAACGCATCCGCAACTCAAAAAAGCATACCGCTGCAATGGCGCGGCGCCTCGTGTTCCTGATGGTCATGGTTCAAAAGGTTCCCTGCATCTTCGCTCCTAGCTGCCGATTCGGAGGTGCAGAAGAACGCAGGGATTTGGAGGGAGAAGGATACGAAGCCAAACCCCACAAGACAAGCACCGAAAAATTCCCCAAGAACTGCCTGACCTCCGAATTCAATCCCTTCCAAACACAAAGCCTAACGCTCGTTCTCCGCCCCGGTCGGCCGCGACGCGCCGTTCTCCTCGCGACGGGTCTCCAGTAGTTGCTGAAAATGACCGAGCCAACGGCCTTGCGCAGCCTGCAGTCGTCTGTCGTCCGTCGTGGTCGGTGCCATCTGCGCCGACACTGAGTCAGACTTCCAGGTGAGTCCAAGTGGGCAACAAAGATGTTGGGAGTGTGTCTCATCCCACAACGAATGTCTTCCTGGAGAGCAACTGGAAGGGCACATCGTAACCACAAGCTGTCACTGCGGATCAAAACACTGGAAGCTGTAGGAAGGAATCCTGCACGTGACACTGACATACCTTCAAGTCCTCCATTTGTGTGTGTATGTAGAAATTATGATGTCCTGTGAAACCCACCGAAGCGGAAGCATCAAAGTGCATCTTACATCATACATTCAATTCTTCTTGGCTTCCCATCGTCCGAAATCGATATGCATATATGGATGAATATGTGGATCGATATACAACTGTTATGGACATTGGACATCCTCTGATATCGCTAAAACAATTCCTTCTCTGACTGGCCACACATACTCTGGAGCGACAGCACCGCCCCCACCTGCCCCGACCCAGTGGCTCCTGAGCGGAGCGGGCGAATCGGACGAACGTCGAGCCTCCCGGTGGGGACATGAAACAGTTTGACCAACTTGTTGGGTCAAGAAAGGTCAATCCAACTGTGAGCATGTGTTATGTTTTAATGATGTAAAGGAAAGGCTCATTGATGTCTAAGGTGAGTAGGACAATCATCCGTCCATATCGGTCCAAGCATGTTGAAGCCAGCTTGTGATTGGCCTGAACATGATTCACTTTCATGAAAGCTGTGTAGCAGCGCTGTGAAGCAAATGTGAGCATTGCCACTCTGTGAATGTAAAGTGTGGGAGTTGGAATCAAGCTCTCAAGCTGAGACTCTGCGCAGGTGCTCAATCCCCAGAGTCAAAAGCGTCGCACGTGAACTGATTGATGGTCCTCTGTGCACCCAGGGGTGGTACTGTGTCACAGAGTTGCTAGCTCCACATGAACCAAGCAACTCCACCACCCTGAATCCCCTGTCCGCCGAATCCAGTCTGGGGCCGGTGGCACTGGAGCAAGGCTTGATGCATGTAGGGCCGTCCGTACTGGCCGAGCAATGTGGGGAATGCGTCACTACCAACCTTCAAGACAATCAATAGGTGCGGTGCAAATTGACAATGAGCGACAAAGAATCACAGAAGCGACCTTTGAGGGTAAAGGGTTCAGCAGGACAGGTGTTCACCCCATTCAGCAGCCATAGCCCTTTTTGATCCTTTAGATATCGATTAAACATGCTCAAGAAAAGGAGTCAGAAAGCAAGCGAGAGAGAGAGAGAGAGGAATATCCAAATATCCACCCACCTCAAAAAAAGCGCTCTTCGAAAGCCACCACTGAATTCCTTACAAAGCGCCATTGCGACATCGCCAGCCCGAAAGAAATTCTCCGCCTGTCGGTCTTGTCCAGCGGTGCCTCGGTCGGGACGAAAAGCCCGGTAGGAAAGACAAGTCTCAGATCTGATGGCTTTGGGATGCTTTTGGTGTGTCCTTTGATGTGCACGTACGACACCTACGACTTAGAGTAAGTGGCTCGGGATGGACAACCAAAAGGGATCCATCCAGTTCAGGTCGAGTCAAAATGTCAATCAAGAAGAGTCGCATTGCCACAGGAGCTCAATGGGAGTGCAAAATTTAGAAAATTTTAGCGTGGTCGGCAAGAAGTCTTTGTTAACATGTCCCCCACAACATGAACATCTTCCTCTTGGGTCATCTAATGACCCTCGGAGGCTTCAATATCTTACAATGGCCATGCATGGCAGCTTTGTAGATCAACTTGGCTCCCTTTCTGTGCAACTTTTCTTCAGGAGCTTCATCACATCCTGTCATCGACCCCACCGAGGGAGTGCGTGGCAGCACTGCACAGTGCAGCACCCGGGCATCCTCCTCATCAGACATCTGCAGGATCTCGTCGCTATTCGCGGATAACATGGATCCATCACAGCCTCGAGGCGCAGAACAAGAAGGGGACGGTGAGACGAAGCGCAGAACGGTCCCGTCCTCACGTTCGGGGTGACATGGTTCGAAAGCATCGACTGCTGAGCTTCGAAATCGAACTCAGTTTGCTTCGTGAAACACAGCCTGTCTTCGCCTGGGAGTCGGGGGCTACTTCTGGGTGGACAAGCTTGAACCTACTTTGAAACAAGCCCAAAGACAGAAGACAGCTCTCAACCTCCGGCACTGCCAACTAGTTCCTGTCCACATTGGTAGAAGTCTTGTGCATGTTGCCTGCCATGGAACAAATTCAGATTCACAGGCTGCTCCGCTCGGCAAGATTCACAGACCTTCATGGATTCAACATGCTCCGTGCCTTGAGGGAGAACTACCGCAAGGATGCCCAGAATTAATTGCTTATTATTCCGCTATACCTTGACCTCACTTCGTGAAAATTATTCTGACCGTGGTGAGTTGTTTGGGATAATATGGTCAATCCCCGTCTCTAACATAATCTAGCATCAAATTCAGTAGTACATTTGGCAGTTGAGGAATTGTCCCTTGCGCACAGCACCGTCCGACAAGTTATTCCAGCCTCTACAGCACCTGTATAGCTTTACAGATCAGGTCTGCAATGGTCTGCAAATTTTCTCTGCGGCTGAAAAGTTGGCTAATGATCTAATGAGTGCATCTGCGATGTGTCCAAAGTAGAATCAGCGTCAGACTGTCTGTCCAAAGTATCACGCCAGTGGGCTTAAACAATTAAACCAATAACAACAGTCTCATGAATTCTTCAAAACAAGTGAAATGCTCTGGAACCAAATCAGCCGAGCGAACACCATCTGCAAAGCTTCATGCCAGATCCATTCAAATCCCAGCTTTGCACATCTGAAACGTCTGGCCCGACAGAATCCCACAATTTAGATGTTGCAAAATAGCCAATAAACTCATCAACAAGGCCGTTCACACTCTTCATGATCTTCATGTGCCCTGCATTTCAGAATCCTAGATGTGCCCCCCCAACCCACCACCTCAGACATTTAAAGAGTCCAAATCAGAGACCAGTTCGTGCTGCTTTTTTCGGGCGCCATTCAAAGCTCGCCGGTCTCTGAAATCAGTCTTTGCCTGGACCCGTCCGGTCTGACCCACGGGTCCTGATGTCGCGCGTACCGGGGCCATCTCTACCCCAAGGATGAGAAACGGAAAACCTTTGGGTTCATTTTGCAGCAATTTTGCATTTGGTATCACATGTGCTTCTGACTGGGCCATCTTACATGTGGAAAGGATGTGTTTGGTGTCAAATCTAAGTGTCTAAACCCCAACCCATGGTGCCAGCCATGTGCAAAAACGCTTACTCTTCCCTACAAAACAGACTAATTACTAGACTAGACAGGCCGGGCTTTTCGAGACACCAAAATCCTCTTCTGTTTCAGCCAGTTCAACGCCCGAATCATGGGATTGGTCGTCTGTCCTAGATCCAAACGATGTCTGAACACCTCAAGACTCCCAGCATCTCCCAACCAAAGTGGGAAAGGTCGAACGGTACATTGAGCTATCCCAGTTTTCTGTAGTGAGCACCCCTCAAGAGCCCAGGGATGACCAGGGGCTATTAGTAGACACTTAACATAGGCTCCAGTCTCCTCCCCACTCATCCTCGGACCGAGCGAAACTTGCGGGCATTTGGCCAAAATCCGCAGAAAGAAGCGCGAACGTTCCAGCGGTCAAGAAACATCCAAATGTTCAGAGTAAGTTGATCAGACTTACTCTGAGGTGACTCTATTCCTGCAGCTTCAGAGAGTGTCCATTGCCCATAGATTCATTGATGCGTATAACATATGAAATTCTATGAAAGATGTGGAAAATGATGGAAATCTGCTGTCCCCAAGAATGGAGCAACTTCCCTTTCTGACGTTCGACTCCTTGAAGGTCCGACCGACAGCAGTCCACACGCCACACGCGCTCGGAACGTTGGAACATCGCCACATTCTGCGGCCTGGACAGCAAAACTGCCAATTGCCCCGACGACCGGAGACCGAAAAACCTCAGCCGTGTCGAGTCGATCGCCGCTTGAGACGACATGCCGAGGTTCTTGGGGAGGGGGTTGCCCGAACATGAAGCATGGTAGCCTATCAGCTTCTATAAGAACATGGTAGCCTATAAGCTTCTATGGTAGGCTACCATCTTAGAGGGGGTAGCCTATAAGCTTCTATAATATAATTCTATGATCTGCAGCATATGTTAGACGCTCGGATGCAGGGCGCACACAGCCAGCATTACATTAACATGTTGGGTTCCAATTTATCCGTCTGCGGACAGGATGTGGAAAAACCTGGCCGCTTGGACTGGTTGATTTTGAAACATTCACCTTGACCCCAAACCCATGTCTTTTCCATGGAATTCGCCCTGATACAAGGATCCTCATCTTGACTCGGGCCGAGGCTGAGCGCTCACGCGCTGAGGTTCTCAATAATCCTGGCATCCATCACATGCACATGAACACTTGGGTATCGGTTCATAAAGTCTCTCAAAATCCTCTGCACCCAAGCTCAGCTCTGCAGCTCAGGACAATGTCACGCTTATATACCTACACAACACAAAGCAAGTTAAAATGACAGACTCAACCTTGAAAACAGGCTGGGCAAACGTCGAAGTCTTCCTCACCGTCGTCGTCTTCTTCGTCTTTGCCGTCAGCATCCACCACCACCTCACCATTGTGCCGCCGAGCACGAGAAACAAAGTGCGATCGCGTTCACCAACTTGGAGCAAGGCCCAGTCAGGACAGGGGAGAATCAATGATCGATTTGGGTGATGGTGAATGGGAACTTCATGTCCCATTATATAGATACCTTTTCCTGCTCATCCCTCATTCAGAGCCAGAACGCACAGACCATGTGCAATTCTGAACCTCTTGGACCTCTTCATACATCTCTGCGATTCTCTGCGACGCGGACCATCCTTTCTCGGACACGACCCAGGGGTCCGGGCACACTCAGTGGTCAAAATCATGGACGCGATGGATGTGGCATTCTGCAGGGCAGATCTCGCTACCTGGCGCATGCGTGCTTGTTGAGTCGGCGCACGGACTGTGGCAGCGGGCCAATTTTAGGCGTGTTTGTCCAAATCAACGACGTCCGTTGGGCAAAAGCAACATGAAAAGATTAGCATTGTAAGGGGCTTGCAACACCTTTTTTGCGACAAAGTTCCTCACAGAACAAGAGATTGGCCCGCCCAAAAGAATGAGATCACCTTTCACCCAAGATGCCTTTCATCTCATGGTTACAATGTTTTCCTCAAGCATGTCCCTTAATAAACAAGATCTGAGAACCCCTCACATAGGCACCTCGTCGACTCTGTTCGTTGCAGAACGAGATACTGAATAGTGTGATTGTGGAATTCTGCAGTTGCTCGGACACAGACTGTTGCCTGGCATGATGTGTGTCTTGATTTCAGGAGTTCTTCAGCAAAACCAGCCTACCAACACCCAGCCCCTGTGTCCTCACCTGCCCGCCCAACCGTCCCCGAGTCCACCTTCGCAGGGTCGATGATGCCGCGCCTCGGTGGGTCAAAAGCGACGCCAGGGTTGACCCTTTCGTCTCAGGCGACCGTGGTGGACCAGGGACCAGGGCACCAGGGTTTTGACCCAACATGCTCGGTTTCCGGTGTTTTTAGATGATTTTGGGATGTTTTGTCAAGAAAGCCACGGGACCCCCCAAAAACACACTCACCAACTGGACCCCCAAGCAAATAGAATGTGAACTTCAAGTCCGGTTGGTGGGGAGTCTTCCGATTTGTAAGACACCCATCTCGCCTGATGATCCGGCCACCCCAATGGAAAAGATCGCCCCCATGAACAAATATGAAAAGTAAAATCACCACTCTGAGAGTTGGACTCCAGCATGTCGGCATATTCCAACACGAGAGCATCAAATCCTGCAGGTTCCACTGTGCGTAGGATGGAGGAGTGCGAGATGTGCTGTAGCATGCTGTAGCAGTGGCACAGTGGCACTGTGCCGTAAAAGCCAGCAAGTATGCCATGTGCAAACACGTGCAAACGGTAGTTGCTGCAGTCTTGGCATACGCCAGGTCCCTGATCTGACCATTAAAAAAGAATGGTCCACTCTGGATCAATCGAGGTGCTCTCAAGTAAGTAAATGAGTTGGAAAACAATGCCATGCCAGGCAGAATCAATGTGAATTACAGTACTATCGTTTGAAAATACATGCAAACAACGAATCAATATTGTTTCGGCAGTCACCTATCGTTTCTCCAGGAAAATCCACGGAAATCCGACAAAAGGCCATGTCAATTGTCAATGAACCGTCCCTAATGAAAGGTCATTCACACATTCAGTAATGGGACGGTCACAGCTCGTCTGTGTGGTCTCCAAATTCCGACACGTACTCCGAAACCAGGGAAAGACCAAGCCCATCCGATGACCATGTACTTCAAATTCCAAACCGTTGACCCCCCGCAAATGTTCATCTACACTCATCTAGACCGCTTGCTTTGACCGACTGCCATGTTTGAAACAAGTTTCAACTCAAGACTCAAGAGATTCCCCATTTCAAACTCGACCTTGGAAAAGGAGCTCCAAGTGTGTGTTAGGTGTCTTATGGTTTCTTTTCTGTTTCTATAGACCGACCCAAACACCACTAGGCATGGAAAAGCCTCTCTGACCCACGCCCAATCACCTTGGTTGGTTGACTCCGCCGCGATCACCTGATGGTCTGGCACGGTGCACGAAAGACGGGCCGGGTCACCGGTGGTTTCTTCGGTGTCGTTTGGAAACTGCAGAAACTGCTCACAAGTTTGGTGGTCAAAGAGGAAAACGAGTTATGCATGTTATACATGTAATATGATGTAGAAATATGTAGAAGATGGATTGACATACAGTAGTACAAAGAAGCCTGTAAGGCAGGGGTACAGAAGAGCTTGAAAGGTGATGCGATGAAATATGATTCAATCGTGTGCCTTTGGAGTCTGCATGTGTTATAGCATGCGCACCTTTTGGCCTCGCCTTGTGTTTCCTGGATGTGTGTTGTATCTGGAAGGCGCGCAGCACTATTCCAAGTGGTGATGTGTGTGTGTGTGTGTGTTTCTTCCTTGCACATGGAATAGTGCATATGCTGGTAACATCTTCCATGATCTGCCCACATGGAGAACATCTTCCAGGTCGTTGTTAGATGTTGTCGCTCAGGTCAGGGCTTCTGCACTCAGAAACAACGACGCGAGTCCCACGCCTTTTCGGCCACGAGCTCCCCATTCTGGCCGGAGTTGGCCTCAGGCGTGGGGCTCAAAGCGAATGAACATCGGGATTTACATTGGCATGTTAAGGGACGTGGGCTAGTCTATGGTCTGTTACTTCGTATGCTGAGAGGGGTTTCTATCGTGCAGACTTGTCACAAGTCATCTCATCATGTCATCATGTCGATATGTGGCATGCGGCATACCATCGCATACCCATATCGAAAGGGAGTGTGTCGATCTGGACCGTCCATCATAGCCCGGTGTGTGTGTGTGTGTGTGCGTGTCACTGTGCCTCTTTTTCTTGGACTTTCGCCACCCCAGCCACGCGTCTACCGCGTCCACCGCGTCTACCACACCCCACACCCGGCCCGGGTCTCGGCCGGGGGGCGGCGATGCGCTTCATCGGGGAACTCATCGAGTCCGCCACGATCAGCGCGCCCTTCAGCTGATCCTTTCGTGCTCTCCAGGGCCCGAAGATCGAGACGGGTCTCCAAACGGCCGGACGGGGGGGGCAGGCGTTCCGACCCTCGGGTGTTCGGAGGGCGAAGAACTGGACTGCCCTGGCTAGAAAGATCCATGTAGATTGAAAAGAGATGAAACTGGTGTTTTTTAAAGATTCTAAGAAGATTTGGACTGTCAGGTCACCTCCACGATCCTCCACGCAGGTTTGCTTGAAAAGCAACAGTAATTAATTAATGATTAAGATATCCAAAGTTCTGATTCCAAGCCTTTACATCTCGCAGGACAGGGGAACATGTTAACCTGGCACAGGTGCCCGCTTACCAGATCTGACAGCGGTGCTCACAGCGGCCTCAGTGAGATTCTCCGCAGACCACTTCCGCAGGTCCTTGGACAAGTGGCACCTGACAATTGGCATCAATTGGCGTTCGATTTGGTTGCGAGGGACACATGAGTGCAGGGATGATGTAAATGATATATATAAATACATAAGTCCTCATGTATTTTGGCTGTAGGCCATTGCTGTTAGGTTGGACTTTACTGTACCATTTCAAACGGAGATCTTGACTGAACCCATTTCATCACTCGGACCCCGGCAGCGCAGCGCCGCCGCCAGGCACAATGCCCTCGTCCACTGCGGCCTGGCAGATGACTGGGGACCAAGAGTTCAGATGTTGAGGGGTCTTGGATTTGAACTGTTCTTGATGCTGTTTGCATGGAAACTCACGTACTCCACGCTGGTCACAGCTCCTTATTGCCCCTTTGCGCCCCCTTTTTTCATAGGTCTCCCAAATCAGAATACACGCAGTCCATATTGATCATCCTGGTTGAAACCCAAACCCCAACGGTTTGCGCCGATCTTCGCCCTGGGGCGGCGGTCGCACCTTGGTGGCGTTGATGGCATCCTCCAGCCGCAGCTTCTTGTCCTACCGATCGGCGGCGCCGTCGAGAGGGCCGGAGAGAGAGATGGATTGGAAAAAGTCGCCTCAGACTCCTACAGCAACCGGTGTTTTTCCTAAAAGGAGGGAAAAACACCGGAAATACATTTGAAAAGTTAAAGTGTAAACGAAATCCCATCAGTTGGGGAATCCCATGGGATCCCCATCTTAGATTCTAAACAAATCACGTATCTCATCTGACATGTTGCCTGACCCTTCTTCAACATGTCCTTTTTCATCAAAGACCGGGCCACCATCCCGTCCTTCAGCTCTGTCTCTGTCGTGGCGCCAACCTGGCAGTTGAACTCTTGCGCTGCTGCAAAAATGCGCCAATTGCGGCGGATTGCTGCTGGAAAAATCTGGGGATTGTAGGAGACAATATGGAGAAACCATGTCACCATTTATGTGACCATTGTCACCCATCACCTCTTGTTGCTGGGAGATCTTCCTTTCTTGGCAGAGACCCACTCGACCCCGGCAGTGCCTTGATCAAGGCCACTCCACCTACGAGCTTGGCAAGTCTCTTCTCCAGCTGCTCCTTGGTATAGGAGCTCTTGGTGTCTTCGATCTGCCTGTGCCGCCCAGCTGCGCAGTCGCTGCGTCGTCGAAGATTGGCGTGTCCAACGAAACCTTTGGCGAATTCCAATGGTTTGAGGGGAACAGCTTGTCGTCCCAAACTTCAACTGAGCCAACAGAGGTTGAATGGCCCTCTTGACTATCCCATAGGTACCCCAGTAGGGTCCTATAAGGTCACTTAACCTCTCTTGGAGCTGATAGGACGAGTCCCAACTGAGTCTACTCCATTCCAGGATTGTTCCGGAATCCCCATCAGCATCGTGCCACCCGGAACCCAACTCGCCGAAGCATCGTCCCCTCTGCACGCCTTTGGATCTGTGCACACCGCTCCTCTAACTGGTCCTTTGGAGCATCAGCCACGATGGTGGTGGAGTCCTGGAAGAGGCACTTCCGCCACAAACAGCTTAGCCAGAGTGGTCTCAAGTATAAATCTAAGAAGGCGCCCGGTCCAGAAAAGGCATGAACCTCTAGACTCTAGAACAACCAACTAATTCTGGGTCAGGAGGCTAGTGACACTGAAATGGCCACGAGAACCTCCTAAGGCAGTCTCCGCTGACTATTTCCTGGCCCCACAGCCACTCAGACTGAGGAGGTTGCTTTTTGTAAAAAAAAATGACAAAATAGAGATATATGCACACCAAAACTTAACTTACCCCTACATTGGTGGGTATACATCTCGCAGATCCCATCCACAAGTCCTTTCCCACAGTGATTCGTCTGGCAGTGCCTTAATGGCAAATGGAAAGACTCAAACACCAGCATTCCTAATACCTTGATGCTTCCCTTGTTCCAATGAGTTGAAATTCATGGTTTAGAAGTTGGACAAGTTAAGCACCCTTAAGCACCCTTCCTAAAAGAGCCACCCACTTTTGCCAGGGACATAGTACGGCCTGGATGAACTGTGGAGTCATCTATTATTATTGTTGTTGGGTGGTTCCCTAATTGGAGCCACACAAGTGAAACGAATGGTAACCTGTCAGGAGAAAGTGTCAAAACCTTGGAGACGCCTCTCTTTGGACATGCTCCGCTGGGTCGTTCCACTGGCTCGAGGCTTGCTTCAAAAAAAGACCAAGTAGCTAAGTAGCCTCCCTCACCAGTGAGAGCGAAAGTATACCCTTGAAACATCTCAGACTTCACACTTCCCAAACTTTCGAGCGCGCATCAAACAACGAAGCAAAGACCACCACGGTGAGCTGGTCGTCTACACGTCGTCTACACGTTGTCACCCTCCCGGCACCCTCTGCCTCGTCACCAAAAGACTGGCCAAGAGACCAAAGTCTTCGGCCGTCACGCTGTCCAGCTTCCTTCCGAGATCATCGGTGATGTACCTGAAGGTAAACCAGCAGAAAGGAACGGCTCCTTTGCAACAGGATTCCAACATGGCCCTCTTTTTTGAGAGGTCAAACTGTTGCAGTGTCCTTTTTGAAATCGGTAGGCAGTGCAGTGATCATTGACCTTTCTCTTGGGAAAATGGTCATGTAGTGAATCTATATAGTTATCAAATCCCGAGGCAGTCCACAATCCGGTCATATCCGGTCCACCGACGGGCACGTGGCACTGGTCACCAGGGCAATGTCCTGAAACGAAGACAGGACCAGGGTCGTGGGGTCGTGTCAGGAGCATCTAGATCTCAGCGATCTGATCAAATTGAATCCCCTGGCGGCCACAAAAACAAACGATGTGACAAGAAGCATGTGCAAACCAGTGCAAACGGAGGAAGAAATCCGTCCGCCATCACCATATTTGTTGTTCGACCTGTCGCAGCATGGTGAGGTGACCACCACCAACCAAGAGGTTTTTGTGGTTCGTCTCTGCACGTGTCCTGCAGAATGGCCTTCCTGTTGTCACCGAAGCCAGGTGCTTGCACGGCACCTTGGAGCGGAGGCACCGAGAAGGCAGGCCTGTGGGCAAATCTTCCCAAAACCTGGCATTCACGAGCTCAACAGTTGGTGAACATCATGGGTTTTGAAGGACTTCCTGAGACCCCAAAGGAATGAATATAGAGCTATAGCTACCGTGACCGACTCAAGGTCGAATGAAATAAGGCTGCCCCACAGCAGTCAACAATGCCCCGGATCTTGTTCACAATGAGAGTTGCCAGGACCTCCGCAAACAGGTGGCCAGCGCCATGCTGTGTCCACTCTGGATGAGAATCAAACTGATTGCATGTGATTCGATGATGATAAAAGATAAAAGCAGAGAAGAATACATGCACACCACCAGCTACTGATTTCCAAGACACTCAAATGATCTCAAAGGGGCTTTCTAAGCATTCTCGCTGCTGGCCCAAGTATCAGCAGTAAGCTTCCAACATCCCATCATGTCACTTCTCTCTGCCTCCTTTTCGATGGACTCTGCAATGATCAGAAGTGGCTTTGACATCTGTTTGGCGATGGTGAGGATCGGAATCAGCTCCTGCCATCCACGATTTCGTGCCTTGAAAAGTGCCCGACATAAAGCCTGAACTGCACTGCTTTTCAGATCCAATGCTCTCAATGAACAGTTCATGTGTGATACTCGTGTAGGACCGGGTGGACCACTGGCGTTCAGTATTCGGCTGTGGAAACCTCTCCGTGACACTGGATGATGAGGCACAGCTAATTGAACGCAAGCAATTCAAGGGCATGCAACACCTCCGTTCATTTGGAACCACAATTGGGGTCCTCAAAGATTTTGCGACAAATAACAACTAGCAGCTAGCACCCTCTGGATGTCACTCTCGGGGGGGGCCAAAACATCATTTACCAGTACATCCAGTTACTGCCAGTAATTGTATTGCAGAATGACCAAGACTGGCTTTCCTGAAGATTTCCAGCTACTCGGTGCTCGGCAGGTACTGAGGGAATGATCCCTACTAAAACGAAAAGGAAGCTGCAACTGCAAATGCTTGGACACTGGCACCAAAACCATGCTGACTCATGACCCACAAAGCACCAGCGAGCCTACCTACCGGTGTTTCAGGCTCAGTCGTGGTGGTCCCCAGAACTCCGTTGTCGCCTGCTGAGCCATGGAGATCTTCTGGTCAGTCACCAGAACCAAGGGCCCGTTCCTCAGAACGGTTGAACGATCCGAACGGTCAACACGCGGGTTGGAGGATGACTTGCCCACACCGCACAGTGTTCTTCTAGGTACACAACTAAATCAACCAAGGTGTAGCTTGAGACATTTTTTTTGGCATGTGTGGTGTGTTGCCTACCGATAGCCCAGCTAGGGTGGAGGATGCCCGGAGGACTTCAATTCATGTCTTTTCTTCCCATTGTTTTCCTCGCATCTTGGGACAGAATCTGCAGGCTTCTCAGATAGGATGGAGTCTTTTGCACCACGGCAGGCTGGGCATGTCCTCCACCTGAATGCGTTGCGCCTGGCCTTCCTTCATAGGAGATCTCTGCATGGCATGTACCACAGGCGATGCTCCTCTTAGCATCTGCGTACGGGCTGTCACTGGCTGGTCCGCGGCGTCGATACTCCAATCATGCGAGGCATTCTTTACGCAAAAAAACACTTCTCCCAAAGCTCTGCGACACCCAATCGATACTCGTGGCAGACTAAAGACTTTCGATATGGTGGCAAAGCGGGCGAATCAGCTAGGCCTGCGCTGTCGCCAAGCATCCACATAGGTAACTGCTGAGTGCCCAGAGTCTATGCGTCCAGAAACCTTCTGCGGTCAGCCACAATTTCATTAGCTACATGTCTTCTAGATGTGGAGGCTTGGCAGGGGTTTGCGCCACACCTCACAAGCCATTCAATGGTGCTGAGTATTTCATCCCGCCTACTCGGCCTTTGATTTACCAAGCGAACACAAGCCACCAGCAAAGTGTGTCCCGTCTTGCGATCATGTGCGTAGCAGTCAACATCTCTTAGATTCAGCCTCTTCAAAGCTTCGAGTTCGCCATTCCGCACCAACGCATAAGCGAGGTCTGTGCGTTGCCACATCCTAGTGCAGAAGAGAGGGTTAATGAAGAGACCAACAAAGCTGTTCATAGTGAAGAAGGCTTCAATCAATAATCCCACAGTATTCTGTCTGGGTTCGTTCGCTAACTCGTTCAGGTCGTGAATTGGAGAGTACACTGCTTAATATGTATATATATATATTATATAGTTGTTTTATTGTATTATAAGATGTTTTATCAGATTATATAAATTATATACATAACGTTCCTCATTCCCTAAGCGCACATTTCGCTGCCTTTTCTTCGGCTGGCCACAGTAAGATGTCTCAAGCGAATGGCCACGATCTTCGGAGCGACAGCTAAGAAAGAGGGAGAGCCATCGAGGATCAACCTTTTCCTGCTTGATTGCTTGGGAAGGGTTCGCACCAGACTTGATGAGCCATTCCATGGTGCTCAGTCTTTCAGCAACCTTGTGGTCAGCCAATCCTGCATTCAGACAGTCAAAGAGCACAGTTCCTCCACTCCTGGGATTGATTGCGTTCCAATCAAAGTCTGATATATCTAGCCTTTTCAAAGCTTCAATGTCGCCCTCCGCCACCAAGGCAAAATGAGGTCAGTATGTTGATGCTGCGACATTCAAAAGAAGAGAGGCTTCATGAAGACGGCTCTGTCAAACTAAGATTGTCATATTGAACAGGAGTCACTGACATACAGAAATTCCGCAGGTGCCACAATACTAGCCTACTCTTGAATGACCTGGAGAGTACTGAGTTGAGGAATGCAAAAGGTAAGATCTCAGCCATCCCTGCCTCATATAATGCCATCCCTGGCACAGGCCCATCACTGTGGCCAAATGGCTGTGAGGCAGTGACCGAATCTTGAACCGAAAGCAAAGCGTCTGATGGGTCTGTGGCCTGGCCATGCCTGGCCCTGGACCCCGACCGTTCACATACTTGGATTCAGCACTGATGTAAGTACTATACTACTATACCGGTGTGCAAAAGGAAGCAAACCAATAGGTTGTCTGTATAGAGCCTCTTTACCAGGGGCGAAGCTGGGTCTCCTGTGTTTTCAAACACACCCTATACCTCTTCGCGTCCACTGTGCCACAACTGCAAAAGGGTTCTGTGGTCTCTGGCGACTCCCAAACTCTTCGCGAGGGGTTGGCAGCATCCAGGCAAAGGTAGGGAGACAAATAGCCCTGCGCGACGGATGAGAACGTGAGAATGCGCATGAATCCCGGTAGTGACTACTTGGAAACAATCCATTTATATCCATTTATGCCATAAGTGTCAGAAAGCCCGGTTTGGGCATGCTTGAGTTTTGAGCAACACCGCAGCAACTTTTGGTGTCAGCTCAAAACTGCCAAGTGCCGTTGAGATGGCATTTGGTGGGATTTGCACTGTAAAGGAACTGAGAGCATACCATGGCAACTTCTATGGAAATCACATGGGGAAGTGGTGATGACCATCTCCAAGACTGACACCTCAAGCACTAGGGTCTTGGGACAAGGATAAACACACACCTGGTGGTCCATCCATAGTTCTTGGATGAAGGCAGGCGAAGGCAAAACATCACAACGGCAGGCTTCGCTTCAGGCGAAGGCAAACCAACAAACGGTGTTTGCTACCGCGCGTCAAGTTCTTAAAATCTACCATGTGGATCCATATGGTTCAACACCTTTGCTCAAAATCACGCCTTGTCCAAGTTCATTCCCTCGGTGAGCTCCACTTCGGTGTCGGTGGATTGGGACCTGAGCCGTGGTCTGCCGCTGGTGGACGTGCCTGAACGTGTAGGTGGCCGAGAACACAGGGAGACACCCCTGGCCCAACGGAGTGGAACATCCATGGAAACCATTATCCATTAAAGATCATTAAAGGCTTTTGTGTGTCCAAGAATGGCACACAGAAGTCCCATGAGACCTAGGGTTTACTTAAGCTTGTGAGGATCCATTTTCGCATCCATTTTCGCATCCATCCATCCATGCGAACCGTTCGCCCCTCCGGTCCGCCGGCCGAGGAGGTCGACCCCGCTTCCCGAGGCCGAGGACTCTTCCAAAGAGATGACGCCGCTGCCACCGACCTGGACCCACCGCTGACCCGAACCCCCCGGTTGTCCCGGGCCCGGGCACCAAGGCCGACCATGAATGGGCGATATATGTCGATATACTGCCATGTCTATCAAGCAGTAGCTAAGCAGGGAGTCCGTTCAATCCACTCTCTCTCGCATCTGCGTTCATCCAAGGTCGTTCATTCGGAGCGTTTACAGCGTGCAACGGACATTTGCCTTCTCCATGGCATCCGCAATCATTTGCCCAGCCTGTTGGCAAAAGCAATGCATGTAGCCATCAAAATCTGGTGGGAATCTGGACGAAGGCAGTTTGAAGATGCTGATTGAGAGTATCAGCATGGGTAGCCAAAAAGGGTGACTTGGCTTTCCAGACAAGGATTGGAGACTTTGACATACTTGACTGTAAGCTGACCGGTGTGTAGCCTCTCACAACACCTACGAGTCTTCTGCGTTTCCGGGCGAATTGCTCCCACCAGTCCCACCTCATCGTCGCCCCCGGCCGAGATGGAGCCTACCTCGCAAAGTCTGCTCGCCGAGCACTTTCTGATTGAAATACACAGCTGGTCTTGGGGATTCACCGCCAAGTTGGCCTCTGTTTCTTTCGAAAACAACTTGAGATCAGGTGGATAATCAGTGATCAGTGCATGGTCAGTTGCCACAAAGAGGAGTATTCCGGACCCCTACCCACTGACAGGTGGCCACAATGTACCTAAAAGATTAAACATGCAAATATCTAGTTGTATGATTTTTGTTCTATACGCATCATCTATAATACTATTATATGTTTTGACATGTATGCAATAGATCTCCTCAGTCTCTTTAGTCTTCATCGCTTCCCTGCCTGCTTGATCTTTTCCATGTCCGTATCGCTCACCGACACGGCAATCTCTTCGATCCGCTTCACCACGTAGCTCGCAGCCTATGCAGCTAGAGAAAGGCGCCAAGGGCCAAGAGCAAGAACCGACAAATGAAATTGAAAGTTTGTTTGGGAGGAATGCATGGGATGTCGACTGTCCACACCATCATGTTATTAAACATAAATCTTCGAATACAGTATCTTGCGCTTACAATGACCCCCTCTTGTTTCAAAATGGTCCGTCGATTCAAAACGGCTGCTAAAGTCTGGCCTTCTCCATCCCCAGCTTGATTTGCACTGGATTGGCTCCTCCCACCTTGACACCGACCGGTGACTCCGGCGCGAGTGACCCGTGACCGGTGGCGCAAGGTGTTCGGCTCCCCGCGGGCCCTGCGGGCCCCGGCCTTGTGGTGTTTCATCCAGGTTTGCTGATGTGGTTGCGACACTTCCAAGGGACCATTATAATAGTCAATATACAAGAAATTGGTAAGGTTGAGAAACATTGAGCTTGGAGTTGGCTACCGAACCCCGTTCTGATACTCTGTGTTCAAACCAAGCTTACTCTCTTGCCAATTTGTTCATGTTGAAAACCCAAAGGGTCTGTTCTACAAGTTCGTTCTCGCCCGGTTCCGGTCCCTAAACGAAGCAAAACGTCCAGACCTGTGAGGACCTCCACACCTGAGGTCTTGGCCAATTGTTTCATCCCGCTCTTCACCATGGCATGTGCCAAAATGGTGGCGGTCCTGGCAAGCCAGGCGCCAACCAAGCGAAATCTTGGCTGTATCAGAGGTTTGGAGCACCTGCGATATATCTGGAGACAATTCATCACAGTAAAACAAACTGTCATTGTCCTTGTGTGAACACAAATCATGTCGGAACTGCAACTCCATTGACGAAAATGCATCTTCTACGGGATGTTTGTACGTAGGTTCACTGCAGACAGAAGAGATGCGCCAGGAAGGACCTCAGCCCCAGACGTGGTCCCATCGCCCGCCACATCGTTGGTCTTGGCGGAGGCCTGTCGAATCAGCTGCACACCTGTGTTCTCGACCTGAGTCCGCAACGATCCATCGGAGTCTGGCCCACTCGTTGGCATTACAGTGATCCCTAAAATAGATAGAAAGGGAATAATAGTCTTGCAAACCGAATCTCGGAAGAGTCAATATTCACGATGTCGAGTCTAGTCCTTTGACGAGCTTATGTTTCCAAGTCTTCGTATTTTTGCAAATGGCAAGCAGCCACTTTAGGGTGACAAAAGGGACAATGTGGTTGGACATTCCACTGCTGTCCGAAGATGGCCCTCTCATGCCGGGAACATAAACTCAAAGAAAAATGGACCATAAAAACTGACCCAAGACCTCTGGGGTCACAGAGAACGAATTCCGAATGAAACTATCTTCACCATTCAGCACCTCTGTCACAAAGCAACGTTCAAGCCGTTCAAGCGCGGCTCTGACCATGGACTGGGCTAGTACTATAGCGGCAGGCTAACCCTGTCCGATGACGAGCCGACCTTGCCGACCTTGGCCGATGCAAAGTGCAACCAAGGATCTTGATCCTCAAGCTCTATTTCCTTGGCGATCGTCACACCTGGCATGTCAATCAGCAGAACAAAAATAGCATGAAACTAAAGGCAAGCGATATATCACACACACAAGCACGTGTTTGAGGGCAGAGTCACAAGTTGTTACATGTAGTTACATGTTCGGGTAAGGGATCAAAATAAAAATAAAAATAGAATCAAAAAAAATATTCAACGGGGATCAATAAAGTAATAAAAAGGTAATCAAAAAAAAATATTCTAGCCCACTGAGGATGGTTGGGGTAGTAGAGGAGAGTGTACCTCCCCAGGAGCTCCCTCCTAGTAGGGAGCTATTTCCACTGGTGAACCATTTTTCGAGTAGGGCTACTCAATGACTGGACGGCAACCTTATCGTTGGGTACCTACTTTCTTCCCAGGGAGCTGCCTCTAGTAGAAAGCAATCAAGCCTCTATTTGCGCAAGCAGGGGACCAGGAGATCGACAGACGAGCGCCGTAGGAGAGCAAAAGACCAGCGGACCAGGAGACAGAAGGACTAGGATACCAGGGGACCAGCGGACCACAGGACCAGAGGACCAGGAGACCGGAGGACTAGGGGACCAGTGGACTAAAGGACCAAGGGACCAGGGGACCAAAGGACCAGTGGACCAGAGGACCAAGGGACCAAAGGACCAAGGGACCACATTACCAGAGGACCCGCAGACCACAAGGCCAGGAGAGCAGCAGAAGAGGCCTATCAAGGAATATTTTTTTGATTCGCTTTTTTTTTGATCCTGTTTTTATTTTGTTGCTGCTCTTTTTATTTTTTTTGATACCTATGCCTTACATGATGGTGTGCAAAGCTTCTCGAGGTGATGTTCAATCTGGTTTCACCCAAAGGCGGAAACATGTGCGATGCATTGAACTGCTGAAAACCCACCACAGGGGGATCAGATCATGGCCTTCATATATTTTTGCCACTGAAGACACTGGATCCTGGATGTCACACGGAGTATATACGTATGTCATGATGCGACCCATCTGAAGCACTCCAAAGACCTTCGCAGACTCGCCACCGACCACAGGGCCCCCCCATCTTGCCCGATTTGGGCTGGGTTCCCGGCCATCGTTGACGATCTGTGGTGCTGAGTAGTCACCCTGATGGAAGAAGGACGGTGCGGAAGTCGCCCGCAACCCAAGGAAGTGGAGCAAAACCAGGTTGGTTGGTTCATTGCTGTGTGGTTACCTGGCTAAATTGGTTGGTGGCATAGTCACTGTCGAGATCTCGAACTGGATGGGCCCACCAGAAATTGGGGGATGGGCCAAAACCCTGCAACGCGCACGTCAGTGTCATGGTCCATATGATGTCTGATGATTTCTTTGTATTTTCGTTGGACGTGACGTGGTTCTTGGAGCCTGGTTTCGGGTGTCAGACTGCGCCGCAAGCTGGCTGCTTTCATTGTGTGGTATTGTTAGTACCAACACCCACAGACCAACCCCTAAACGAACTAGAGGACTATCAATCACTTAGGGTGTGCGGGCTTAGGATTTATGGTGTCGCACCAAAGCCAGGTGTGTGTGTGTGTGTGTCATGAGTCATAATCAATCTGATAACTCTCTGCACGTAAAAATCAGCATGACATTCTGAAGCAACTGTCTGTATGTGCCCGAATAAGAACCTCCGTCAACGACTTGCCAAATCAGACGCCGAAGCCTCTAACCCCTAAAACCGGCAATTTAGCTTTCGCTCAAAGCCTCTTGGGGCAGGTACAGCCGGAAGTTCTGGGCGTATTGTTACCTAGACTCGTCCACCATCAACCAGAAGTGCATCACTTAAGTTCTGCAAAGGTATCCGGTATGCCCTCATGAGGCATCAACAAAGGAAAGCTTGAATCACTTGAATCACATCTGGACCCAATATGTCAGGAGATTGGAGTATAGTATAACAAACCCTCCCACAGGTTCCAATGCATGGCTACTCAACACTTGGATGGATGGCAATCATAAACATGCCTTGGCAGCTCCCCAGTCTTTGAAACCGGGATGTCTTCAAAAGGACACCAAGTCCAAAACAGTTTCTCCCCTCAGCTCGATCGGCATTTCTTAGCTCGCTCCAGTCTCAAGTCTCTTACCAAAGAATGTCAACTTTTTCCGAGTAGTACCAGCGGTTACCAGCACCCGTCAGTCTCTTTCTTCATCGTTCTTCCAAAGAAACCGTGCCCCCAGCTGATTTGCTCTACTCTCCCCAGCTCATCCTCGTCCTCGTCCTCGTCCTTGTCGCTCTCGCTCGGTGGCTCACGCCTTGTCCAAGAGCACGTTGCGACCGCGAGGACCCAGGGTCACCGCCACGGTCTCGGCCAACTTGTCGATGCCCCGCAGCAACTGAGGCCGTCGACCGTTGGAGCGAAAAGCCGATTGGTGGCTGGGTCGGTGTCCAGATCCTTTCCCTGGCTTTGGACACCTTCTGGTGTACAACGGCTGAATCTGTAATTCTGTCCTATGAAGTTACAACCAGACCTCCTGGGCGCTGACCAAAGTCGTTGTCTCGAATTGAAGATCTCTAAATGGATTCCGAGTAGAACAAAAAGCAGAGGCCATCATTGAGACAGCCCGTACAAGAAAACATCAGTGGTATGGCCATCGAAGACCCAAACGAAGCAAGGATATGAGGAAAAAACCAAAGTGGCACTGGAGTGCAAGTAAAGTACAATCCGAGAGAGAACAGGAGGCTAGATTCAAAATGTTCAACCTTGTTAAGAAACATTGATCCTTAATTATGATCATTTCGGTCAACGCAAACGTGATTTCAGCAGTGTTGGGAATCTGTCTCAACATGAAAGTCCTGGACACATGTACCAGTGAATTCTCTCTCTCTCTCTCTCTCCCTCTCTCCACTGAACATTGATTTAAAAGAAACATGCCATATAGATCATATAGGATCTGCTGAGTGGGGAAACCTCATGTTCCAATCGTCATGCGCAGGCGAGCTTGCTCGTCCGTCGGCCAGGCGACGAACGGGAGTCGCCTGTTTTCGACCATCGTCTCGGTAGAGGATCTTGCGGGCCTCGGGCGAAGTCGTGGGATTTCGGTGGCAAAACGTGGCCCACAAGTGTAGGAGAACCAGTTGCTTTTGGCACCGCGGCGCCAAAGCAAATCAAAAACAAAACATTGATGAATTTCATGTATCATTCGAATGCTTCATGATGTGTCTTTTGCTGACCATGCAGTTGGCACTGGGAGGCCCAAAGCAATCCTTCATTCAACACACGCGCGGCCCGACATCCGCCAAGAGTGCAATCTCATAGCCACACAAATGATCTGTTCAGGTAGCAAAAAACAGCATTTGAAAACCCATGAAAATCCCTTGGCTCACTGTTTTGACATTGTTAGTGACCGAATTCCTTCAATTCTGGCCTTGGCCCTGCAGGTGGTGCGCGAGCGACGGGCAGCGCTTCTCCTGACTCGGGCAGGTGAATCAGCGCCGGAGCGTGGGTACAAATCGGTCAGTAGGGTCAGGAGAAGCCCTGGGCTCTTGAAACATCTTGAAACACATTGAAAAACATGTGGCATTGTATATACAGTGGTATGTTGGAGCTTGAGCGCTCTGAGCCCTCTTCTTTCTGGCCATCTCGGGTCCGGGAGCGCAGGCTGCAGCGCAGGCACTTAGGCACTTAGTGCGGCCTGACATGCTGAATTCAATTTCAGAAGAACTCCACTCTCAGGTGTGCTCGGTCATCTTGCGAGGGCCTCACCCGGGCGGAATGGAGGAGGCTCTTGGACCACCATGGCTCCTCGCAACTTCCCACCAAAGCTCTGCCCCTGAAGCCCCTGAAGGCCTTGAAGGCCCGGGGAGTAGCGCAACTCGGTGGCACTGGCGGAGCTCATCATCCGATGAGAACCATGCGCAGGCCCCGCAGGTGCTGCGCGCAAGGGTGGCAGATTTCTCTCACTTGGCCGGCGCCTCATCTCGGGGGACCTGCTTCGCTTCAACGTTGGCTTGGTGTTGGACAAGTGAAAGGTTTGCGCATGCGGCGCATGTGGTGCATGGCCCAAAGCTGTGCTTGGATCTCCCCATGTGGCCACAGACAATGCGACATGGCCACCCCCCGCTGGTCGAACGTTCTGAATTCTCAGGTCAAAGGCGTTCGGTGAAAAAGACCGGGAATGCGGACTGAGAGACCGGTGTGAATGCAAGGACTCACTACTGTAGGAGTTCTGCAAGGTATTTCCCGGTTGGTAATACGTCGAGGCTGCACTGTCAAAGCGCTCATAGGGCGAGGGCGATCGAGTGGCTGGCAAAGATCCGGGGAGCTTGACGGCAGAACCGCAGTTCCTGCAGTAAACAGGACTCATGGATCCACCTCTCTTGCCTTGGATGTGCTGTCTAGGAAGAAAAAAAATAAATCTCCATGCCAGGGGATTCAGCTGGATTCACCCATAGGGAAAAAGAAACATCACCCTAAGCAAAGCCAAGTTGCTCTCACGCTCTGGTGATGCGCGTCGCCTCGTCGAATGCTTGGCCTTGAACCAGGGCGGAGGCTCTCCGGTGTTCCCCAAGCGGTACCACTCCAGCCGACGCTGTTTGTCCATTCGCCTGAGAGCATCATCATACAGCCGATCAAAGCATGTGTAGTCGGGATCCGCCATGGTTTTCCCCAAACCAGCTTCTTCAAAAAGTTTCTTGATCACATCACCTAAACCCTTCTTCTCTGCGAGTTCCATAAGGATTCGAAGCTGCTCTCGAACCTGCTTCAGGAGCTTCAACAAGCGAACTTGTTCGTCGTTCAACTTGTCATTGTCCTCTTGCAAAGATGCAATTTGTTGATCTCGCTTCTTGAGCTTGGCCTTGAGTTTTTCAAGCTCCTGGCGTAGTTCTTCCAATTCCCGTAACTGATCTTCACTCAAGCCGCCAGGAACAGCGACCTGTTTGACCTCGGTGATGGTCTCTTTCTTCCCATCGGTGTTTTCTTGAAAGCGCTTCAGCTGGTTGCTGAGATCCAAGGACTTCTTCCTTTCTGCTTCAATGTCTTTCTTGAGTTTGTCCATTTCCTCCTGAGCTTTTCTCAACAACTCTTCTACTTCCTCTCGCCTTTTCCGCTCTTCCTCAAGCTCTTCCCTCAGTTTGCGAATGGTATCATCATCCCCACTCTTCACTTGAGACGTGACTGTGGCTGCCCCTTTCTGTCGCTTTAGCAGCGCTAATTCCTTTTGAGCCTCCATGAGTTTTTCTTCAAGTTCTTCTATTCGTCTTTTTGCGATCTGCAGCTCCGATTTGAGTTTTTCCGAGTCGCCACCCTTTGTGACGGCTTCCTGGAGTTGTTTTCTAAGCTGTGCAATCATTTCTTCTAGCTGGGCAACCTTCTCTTCACTGAGCTTCAGCTGTTGCTTCAAGCTTTCAAGCTCTTCCTGCGAAGCCGATGGTTTTTGATTTGCCATGGAATTCCGGTATTCTTTCACCTCCTTCCGGAGCTGCTCCAAGGATTTTTCCATCTCAGCCATCCGCTCTTCAGCCTCTTTGGCTGCAGCCTCCAGCTCTCGGATGCGAGCTTCTGCTGCCTCTTGCCCTGCTCGGGCATCTCGCAATGCAGCCTCGAGCTCTGCAATCTGTTTGCGCAAGTTGGCCACTAATGCACTTTCCTCATCACTCTTCCGAAACTGAGAGAGATCCACTGCCGAGCCCTTCGCATTTGCGATGGCGATGGCAAGCTTGATCCTGACGATCTCCTTGAAATACTCACGTTTGTCTTGGTCTGAAAACCAAAAGTCTGGCCACCAAAGCACCTTCTTGTAGGTGCCATCTATTGCAATCTCTAGAGCAACCCGCACCATGGCCTCATTGCTGTGCTCCAGAAGCAGCCAAAGAGACTTCGCCACCTCCATGACTCTATGCAAGTCTGTGACATTCTGGCGCCACAGGAGGTCATCAAAAGCCTCCTCTTCATCTGGATCATCTGGGTCTGGGTTGTCTCTCCGCTCCATTTCAGCCTTGATTCGTTCTGCAGCATTCAACCCCTGCGGCCAGGTTCTTGGAACGACGGCCATCCGCAGGGATGCCGCCGGGCGGCTCGATGCCGCCCCACGTGCACGCGGGTCCGAAAACCAGTCAAACCTCCTTCGGAGGTCCAGAAAACCACTTTCCGCGTGAAGGAAGCTGAGCAAAAAAAACTTGAGCCCAAAACCGTGCACCATACCATCAAGCAAAAGGAGCGTGTGCTCCTGAGTTGGGGCGAGACGTGCTTCGCAACAATGTGGACACACCCCACTCTGTCCTTTCGCGTCTGCTCAGCAGAACCTCAGAGACTTTTCACAGGTCACTTAGCCCCAATTTTGGGCCAACAGAAGAAACGGAAGAAAGTATAGTGACGGTAAATAGGTGTCTTTATATATCCAACAAAAAACGCATCTAACAGGAAGTTTTGTTCATGCCTGGATGCTCATGTTCACACACAGCAAGGTTGGAACCCGGCCGCGGCGGAGGCCCCTAGCCCCAGCAAGCTCCAGGCACCCCGAGTGTGCGACGCCTCAGTGGCACAATGAACACTGTGTGGACACCCAACTGCCTTGGGTATGTATAAAGCAATTGAACATTCATGCAAAGGTGAAATGCACAAGTGTTTGCCGAGCTCGAAGGGATCATGTACCTTGCACCAGATCTTTGCCAAGTTGAGATCACAAACACTGGTCCCACTCTTTCAACCTGAATCTGTATGGCATCCCAAAGAAGAATCGGACAACAGGTGTTTGACATGCCTCATTCTTTATCAACTTGAGGATGATCGGATCCATTCAGATTCACCCTCCCTTTCATCCTTACTCCACGGTCGGTGTCACCGGCACCTGGCTTGAGATGGCTGGCGTCGGCGCCGGGTGCGGTGCCGGAGGCGTCGGCCGCCCAGGCCTTGGTCACATCTGGTGCAAGCAACCCACCTATCAAGACTGGTCGGCAAATGCCTTTCACCATCAAGGCTCCCTGCAAGTGTTTGGTGGGATAGCTTGCCGATTGTGGGTGGGATATGGTGGGATAGGTTGCTTGGTCACCTGGTCAAATTTGCTTGGTGGGATTCAAGATCAAGGCTCCCTGCTGGGTTGTTGATCCCAGAGAGGATCCATGCAGCTGAAGAAGGAAATGCGGAGCCAAAGCACCAACACGCTGGTTTTTAGACTCTTCCAACTATACCCCGAGCTCTTCTTGGCCAAGCTCCATCGTATTCGAGGCAACTAAAGAGGTGGTTTTCAGGTTCTTTCATCCAATGTCCATGGCAATGCCCATCAAGTCCAAAGACCAAACCAAGCCAAAGCATTGCCACCAATAAAGAACATCTCCCGAACTAAACAGCTGCCCAGGTCCTCAGGAGCTACAACAACTAGGTACAAATTGAAAAATATCGTTGTCGCCCCCCCTCCCACTTCTGTGATCATTTCCCCACTTCTCCAGCCAAGCAGCGCCCCCAAGGCAACCGAGCGCTGGTTGGGCACCCGATGCAGTGGCAGATGCACGAAGCTGGGTGCCAGCTCCATCGCCTCAATTGGCGACCGGCAAACAAATGCAAGCTGCCCAGTAATGTCGACTCCGAACAAGTCCCAATAAAACTTAATGCTCCTGATTAAGAAAGACTCCCTTATGAAATCTTCTGAAGAGGTTTTACTATCCAATGGGGGCGAATACCGGTAAGGGTTGGCGTGGAGGCCCCACCGACTCGCAAGTTCGTGCATCCAATTGGGAGGGAGTTTAATTGATATAATTGATATAATGATATAAGTGATAATCGTATTACGGGGTCTTCAAAACCGGTTAATATACCAACTGAAGGTCCTAGGGCTTTCAGGACCATTCACGACACGCAAATCGTTCCAAAGAGTATGAGTGAGACCAACAGAACTGTCACCACCGGACTCCAACAGCCACACTGCTCATCACTGCTCACCAGTCTCCTGACCAACTGTCGCTGTCCGGCCTCGTCCGCCCGCGAAGCAGAGCCCAACCGGACCGAGCCCCTGAAGAAAAACGCTGCAAGCAATGCCTATGTGTCCAAATGATTGTCTATTCTAAGAGGTGTATATTCGGAAATACTCGTCCAATGGGCAATGCCATCAACTTCGATTCTCCCATGATCATGTCGTGTTGGCTCTTCTGCAGTGCTCAGTAACCTCCACAAGTGTAGAAATCCACAAAGCATGGACGTCATGTACCAGGCGCAGGTTGTGGCCATACACTGTTGAACCCAAGAAATACAAACTAAATGATAAACAGTCGATCCTCGCAGATTCTTGGTTTTCTTATGACCTGACCTGCCTGGATGTACAATTGGTCAAAACTGACTGTTCATTGGACTGGTCAGTAACCACACAAGTCAGTTTAAACGCAGGTGGGAGCACCATTGACCTCAAGACAACGCTAATCCAGCAACTGGCAGCACATGGGTTTGTCTCAAGGACAGCGGAAAGCATCAGAAAGCCACGTAGTTCTCCACACGTCCATCAACCGGCCCAGCTCCATTCTTTTGCACTATCGGCTGGTGGGGTCAGCCTGGCAGATGAAGCTTGGACACAAGTCTGCAGAATTCTCAGAAAGAATTGGTAGATAATCAAGAACCCAATGAAGACCCCAACCAATCGGCAAAAAGGGACACAAAAGTATCCAAACTAATCAGGAGAAAGCTGGTTTTAATCATTGCTACCGGGTCCGGATGCGAATTAAATCGAATCATGTGTGATTAGTATCGTAATATCATAGGTACACCCCTTCATACCAGGGGTACTGATCGAATGCCATATGATTGTCATTAACGTCCAATTCGTTCCAATTTGCGCATGTGTTGTTCCAATATGTTGGTAGAGAACAACCAACAAAGCTACTAGTAACAAAGGGCATCGCTACTATTAGCCAAGGACGCTACTAGTAGCTCCTATCTCCACAAACAGCAACTGGGAGGAGTCTATACTACTCGATACATTTCTATACTATCAGTGGCTCTTATATTCAAATTCCAGAAACCTCAGAAACCAGTTTATAGAAACAAAGAGTGCGCTGGAACCCATCAAACAACTGGGTTTCAAGCCTTGCACCTTCATCCAGCGCCCCCCTCCGTCGCAATTCTCGCCGCGAGTCACTGCGCCTTTCGCCGTAGCAGCTGGTGCACTTCATCCACCTCTGCCGGTACTACAGAGCCAGCATGGTGAAACCACAAAGAAGAAAAGGATAATTACATAGAATTACCACCCAAGGATCCAAGTTTGGTGGATTACAGATTCATCTTCCTGTAGTGCAGCCATGTGCCTCTGGAATCCATGTCTGCCTCTAGCAGGTTGACAGCTGAACCTCCTTCACCGGTCTCCACCAAAGATGTCCAAAGCGGCCGTGTCCCGTCTCCAGGGCCCGAGCCATCTCTCGAAAGTCTTGGGGCGAAAGCCCTGATTGGCCCAGGTACTCCTCGAAAGCGGTCGAGACGCCGGAAGAGGTGGAGGTTCCGATCTGGAGTCGAGGAATGTGGTGGAATTCGATGTCTTTCAAAGCGCTGATTGGTGGGCATCTCTGAGGTAGACCTCTGGCAGTTTCTTCAATCACTTCCTATGATCTTCAGATGTCTATCGAGGATGTGAATCTATGTCAACGTGTTCATTGGATCTCCACCTTGTTTCCTGCACAACGTCGCAAGGCAAGTGTGCTCACCTTCCAGCACCTTCATCCTGAGTTCTTAGACCGACTCTTTTCTGAAGACCGAGGCACCCAAGTCTTTGGAACAAAATGGGACAACAGCATCTGACGAACGAAAAAGCAGTCCCAGCTTATACACCCCATCTTCAGCCGACAAAACTCGTCCACTCCAGGTGGCGTGGGGGCGAGAACACCGGTCGCCTTGAGTCCCTCTGTTGGTCGCTCCCACCTGTGAGAAGGCCACGTAGGGACGGACCGGCTCAATGCCCAAGCGCCTGCAGTCACAAATGAGGGGTCTATTAGATGGCCACACATGACATGGTCGGGTAGAGAGAAGTGCCGATCTATGAGATATATCTGAATCTATCATCCTAGAATCCTGGGTGATGTGGTCCTTTTAGCCTTTCGAGACCAGCCCCTCAGCAATGCAGGGTTGCTTCGGCTTCGGGCAATTGCAATAGCGATCATCTGCACATATTGTGATTGCCCTTCGTGGCCTTGTGTCACTCAGCAAGCTACTCCAGCGAGTCCTCAAAGCACCACTGAAAAGACAAGAACCCGAAAGCAATGGATCAAAGCGTTTGAAACCTGCCTGTAATCCAAATAATCCCCCACCAAGAGACATTGATGAAGCAGCCAAGCATGGAGAGTAGCCCAAGTATATGAATCTGAAGATCATGTTGGGAGTGAACTGTTGATGGTTGGTCATGTTTGAAGAAGAAATGTCCATCTTCTGCAGGTGAGATACTTAACTTAGATACAGTCCGTTCTATATATATATATGTATATTAGATGTCTATTAGGCATAGAAAAGGCCGGTTGCCAAGGAGGTGGCCAAGCAGGTTGTCCGAGCAGTGAATAAACCCCTTGAGTAAAGGAACACCTGGGCCAGGGACAAGACCTGTAAGTCTCTGGGTCTTACATTCTGAACTAAAATCCTTGCGTTGAGAAGCCCATCGTGTATCCTGTTAGACTCCACTAAATTGAATTGCCAAGGAGCGTAACCTCCAGCATTTTGTCAATATAGAACTGGCAAAGCCGTCTTCGGAGCTTACATGAAAAAAACACACGACTCTATACTACTGTAACAGTGGCCGTCACTGCTGCTAGCACCAAATTGGGACTACAAATGACTACAGTACGCAAGGACCAGCCAAACTGTCACGGAGCCTACAGTAATTGGTCTCCGCCGGTTGGAAGCTTTTGCGAGCTTGGTTCGGCCCGTTCGAGCCCTCCAATCTCCAAAGTCTGAGAGGAACATCAACACTCCAAAAACTCAATCTCGACCCCCTTTGCGATCTCGAGCAAATCAGAAATCAAGACATCAAATTCCTTGAAACCTCAACAGTCCAAACAACTATCTTGCCATGGAACCGGCAACTCATCTTCAAATGTGGAAGGCCGATGGAGGCCCCCGCGCCTCCTTGCCAGCCTGGTCAAAGTCACCGAACTTCCCTCCGAAGTTCACCAGCTCGCCATGCTGGGGCGGCCGCTCGTACGGGCCCGGGGCGACGCGACGAGGGACTTCGCACAGGTCCATGAATGAAACGTCCAAACCTGGAGGGTGGTGTCATGTTTCTCCATCTATCATAGAAGGATCCACTGGGAGATCTAGTTTTCCCACATCATCTTATACCAGCTTTTGATCCTGAAAACTTACATTGATTCTGCAACCCTTTCAGTGCAACCCCCCAAAAAAAGGAATCGACTTCAGCCAGCCCGGTCGGCCTCCTTCGATAACTTGGCATACTCTGCCTCTGTCTCATGAGGAAATCTCCAAACAGTACGAACTTATCAACCCTTTGATAGGTTCACAGTAGATGGCATGACAATAGCAGAAATCCACATATCTTTCTTGAACCCCCTTTTCGGCTCACCTAGTTACACTGTTAACGGATTATGATAATCGGTCTCGATGGGGCCGTGATTGATCCTTGTGGGTAGGGTCATCATCCTTTAACACACACCTCCCTCCAACCTCCTAGCGTCCTTGCTACTGGTAGCGATGCACCTTGTTACTAGTAGTTTCTTGTTACTACTAGTAATGCCAGGAGCTACTAGTGGCGTCCTTGCTACTAGTTGCAGACCCCGGCTGTATGACTGTAAAGAAACCCCAAACACCATCAAGGGCGCAGATTTGATATTTCCACTTCATGCCACATTACGCCCCTCCAAGGCGACATGCCGCTTCATGCCGATTGAAATAAGATAAAGTCGCATAACTACTACAAGCCTGCTCCCACTCCTATATTTTCTACTCTCTTGTCTTCTCAATCGTTATTCTTCTCTTTCTCTTTCCCTTTCTCTTTCTCGATGCATTGCTGGACGCCAGTTGCATCCCGCACTCTGAAGCTGGGATGGGATGGGTTCCTCTTTTTGATGCTGTTGATCTGTATTGATGCTAGAGACCTGGTGCTCACAAAACAGAATCCACTTTCCTGCCTAGAGAAAATCGAACACGACCAACCTGATTTTTTGAAGCGCACACCGAGGTTGCATGAGGATTCAAAGGCAGAACTTCAATCAAGCGCAACGCCAGCTCATGCCGTTGAAGTGCCATGGAGACACGTGAAGTGACCTGCTCTACTCTAAATTCTTATCTTGTCTTCCCTAGTCCTACTCCTCCTCTCTTCGCTTGTACAGTAGTCTCTTCTCTTCTCCTCTCCTCTCCACTCCTCTCCGTTCCTTTCTCCTGACTTCTCCTTCTCCGTCTCCTTCTCCTTCTCCTTCCTCTTCTCCTTCTCCTTCTCTCCTCTCCTCTGCGGACATGTCGGGACCAAACGAGGATACCAACTTCCGATCAGATCCATGTCTCCATACCCTCACCCTCCAGAGTGCAGTTCAGTGGCCCCAAGCAGTCTTGCTTCAGGAGATATCAGAAAGCTTTCCTCCTCAAACATGTCATGGATGTTACCTCAAATTGCTATGCCCGCCCGAACGTACTTTTTTAACGCAAACCACTGTAGATGTTGACACCGTGATCATATGCCAAACTAAGCATGGTGTTCATTTTCTGGTTCAGCCAATACCAATACTATTCTTGACTGGAGTCAGCCAGCATTCATTCCGTCCCAAATCTCACGACTGGATGACCGAGATCACTCCTCGAAAGGAAGCACACGAGGCGCATTGGGCTGACTGTGGCGTGGCCAGCCCAGTGGGGCACAAGAAAAACCCTTCGCGTAAAGAAACTCAACATCCATGAAGCTATGAACAAAGACTGGAACAAAAACTACCCAGGCAGGTCTTGTAGGTCTTGATTCTCGTAAGATCTCGTAAGTCTTGTCTCAGTAGGTCCTAGGGGCAGCTGATGAGCCTTGGGTTTGTATGATATCCCAAATCAAATATGGAACCGTGGGTTTGCCTCTGGTCTTTTTGGATGTCACACCTCTGCGGACGAGATCAGATGAGTGAGACCCAATTCATCGCCGCACCGTGCAGCCACGCGCGTCACGTCGGACGCAGCAATGCGGCGCACCTCTGCCATCCACCTCGGCCTCAAGGTCTGTTTCGGTTCACTTGCTGACTAGATATGGTACCCTGAGATAAGTGGTTCCAAGTGCATCAAAGATTAAATATGTGTTGCAATCATTCAGTGTAACTTGCAATGCCTTTAAACAGTAGAGTCTCCAGTATTGCCATCATCCATCTTAAACCCAAACAGTTGGTTCAGTTCCGGCACTTCTTCCATCAATGTCATCATAATGCCACCCTACAGACCTAAACCTGGTCCTGAAAAACACCTCATGCAACGACTGTGTTTGCGCAGGCTGGTCCGCCTGCGGGGGCAGCTTTGGACAAGGCCACTGGATCCACACCTCGGTGCTGGTGAAACCGGTTGCGGGCGAGTTTCGCCAGGGCGACTCGGTGGGAACAAATAGGACATGATGACAAATACTTGTGGATATGTATCTGGTTCGTATATGTTCATACATACTATAGTCTGTATATTTTATATATATAGAGATATATATATAGAGGATATGTAGTACCTGTGCTTTGGGGAGTTTTTAGGTTTGAAGCTTGTAGATCTAAACAGTTACTGTAAAAGGAATCAGGAATGCAACCTTGGTGCGTCATGGCCCGGTGTTGTATCTCAAACATGTTCCGCTTTGCAAGCCCGTCATTCTCACAGTCTCAGGAGTGCCTTCTCCACGCAAAGGAAAAAGAACACCAACAACAAGCAGCGCAAACTGAAGCGTTTCATTGTCCTAGATCCACTCTGGGTGCCTTGCCAATGGGTGGTGGTGGCACCATCATGCCGTCCGCTTCCGCCATGATGCCAGTGCCCTGACCGAGAAGGGGAAACAGGATCACTGGCAGAAAGGCATGGCTAGAAAGATCAGCTGTGAGGGCTCTATGGGAACTAGGTACGAGTACATATGGGTGTAACATGTGTTGTGTAACATGATAGATGAAGACCTGCTGTAAAGGAAGACCTTCCATGGATGATGATATACTAAACTTCATGGAAGTGGAAGACCTGCCTACTAAGGGCAACCGATCGTTCCAAGGGCCGCGCCTACTGAGTGGCTTGTGTATAGTGGCTTGGTGTATCACACGCCAGCATAAACCATGTGATGCTGGCTTGAACTCAGCCAGAACCGATGGAAATACATGTGTTTGTTCCCTAATACTGTTATTTGTATATATATAATATATAGAGAGACAGAGGGATATTAGCCATGAGCATAAACATTGCATTGAACAAAGTGTCACACTCGCCCATGACGGTTCTGTGCTGACACAGGTGTCATACATATGTCATAAAGGTCCCATCTCCGACCGCTATTGGGTTCTGAAGGTCCACGAGAGCACAAGAGCATCATGTGCATCAGATGCAGGTGCACTCCTTTTCTGAGGTTTGTTCTCATATTCATGTCTGGGGTGTTCACTCTGCCGGTAGACAACTCGAAAAAGCTTTGACACTGTGCAAACCCTGGCACTCTCCCATCAAAAGCGAACAAGGTACAAGTACAAAGGCTGATGTCCTTTGTAATTTGTATGATATATAATCCCTACCCAGTATGCAGGGGGGGGACCTGAAAAAATGTAACTTACATTTTCCTGTTCGAGGGTGCCTGGAAAATGTAAGTTACACTTTCTCAGAAAACCCTGGAAAATGTAAGTTACAATTTCCTGGCATCCACAGGCAGAAAATGTAACAATCTGCAAAAAATGTAAGTTACAATTTCCAGGCAGTCTGCCTGCAACTGTAACTTACATCTTGAAGGTCATAAACTGCAGCATGCTGTAGCAGTTTTTCCCTCTGCGCTTTTCGCAAGTGCCCACCTGCTTGTGTGTTGCCTGGGGCACACTTAGTTACATTTTTTATCACCCAACCACTGCCCAGCGTTCTCCCTGCCAGCCACAGCTGGTCCAATTTCTACTGTGGAAGTACAAACAGGATAAGAAAAAATGTAAGTGAGTTCTGGGTAGGCATGAAATACTCCATTATCACATATGGTTCCCTGTCCTGTGTGCCACGGGAGGGTTTGCTTCCAGCATCCTTCTTTCAGCATCTCTCAGTCATTGGCCCACCACACTACAAGAAATGCTTGGCCATCCCCTGTCTCACACCTCCCAAGCCCAAAAAGGAAAAAAACTTCACAAAAGGACCATAATAAATAATAAGTGTAACTTACTGTTTGTCCAGGGCTTGAAAACTTGCATGTTTACCTGCTTGTCTGTTGCCTGGGGCGCACTTAGTTACATTTTTTTATCACCCAACCACTGCCCAGCGTTCTCCCTGCCGGCCACAGCTGGTCCAATTCCTACTGTGGAAGTACAAACAGGACAAGAAAAAATGTAAGTGAGTTCCGGGTAGGCATGAAATACTCCATTATCACATATGGTTCCCTGGACTGTGCGCCACTGGAGGGTTTGCTTCCAGCATCCTTTGGCCCACCACACTACAAACCCCCTGCCTCACACCTCCCAAGCTCAAAAAGAAAAAAGACTTCACAAAAGGACCATAATAAATGTAACTTACTGTTTGTCCGGGGCTTGAAAACTTGCATGTTTACCTGCTTGTCTGTTGCCTGATCCACCAATGTTTCACCTCCCAAGCATCACCAAGCCTTATCCCTGCCAGCCAGAGCCAAACAAAATAATGAGTTGACCATGTCTATTCTATCTTTGAAAATCTCGTTTAGTCCAATTCGGTATTGTCTTTCTCAACGGCATGTGCCATCGTGGAGCCAAATGCTCTACATACACATGCAAGCTCCACGAAGCTAAAAGCGGGGGAGAACAAATGTAACTATACACCTGTGAGACTACCTTGGAGGTATCTTGTTACATTTCTTCCACCCCCCAAAAAAAGGCATCGGGGGGGGGGTGCAAAAATGTAACATAGGCCCTGGGAGGTCCATAGTTACATTTTATAGGCCCCCTCCCCCCCCCCCTCCAGAGACCCTGAAATCTTGCCTGGGGGGGGGTTGTTACATTTAGGGTCCCCCCAAAAAAATGTAAGTTACATTTTTGAGGTCCCCCCCTCGAAAGCTCAGTAACAGGGTGGGGATGATATATAGGTTTTCAGATTCTACGATCATCCGCAAAATGTACAAAGCACAGAAGGACGACTCCTCCAAAGTGAAGTGAAGTTCTCAAAACCCACTCACTTGAAGTACTGGAGGATCTTCATCTACTCTGAGCCCTACTCAGCAACCCACCACATTGTCATCCGACCCACAGACCACCTGCCAGGAGGTCATCTTTTCCACCTGGGTGGCATTTCGTTCCCCCCAAAAAAGAACGCCGGAGGTGTTTCGTTGAACTCCCAAGGCCCAAAGCCCCTCATGTTGCAGTTCGTGTCGATTGCACCAAAGGGACGAACGAATCAATATAGAACGCATCATGAACACATCTGTCACTTCCCGGTCGTTGACCAAGGACAATTCATGGTGCTTCCGATGTCCCCACACGTGGCCACCCTTGCTAACCGCTCTTTCGTCGCTCCGGGGAGCGCTCCGGGGAGCAGGCCGTGCGTGCACTGATGGCGCCCATCTTCTTGGCCTTCAACTCCATGAGATGATAGGACTCAATGACCTCAGTGGAGCATGGTGCGGATACCAGTCGCATGGCTCACATGGAGCTGTCCGGTGCGACGGGATGTGACTGGCTGATACCAGTAGGACAACAAGAATGTTAAACTCTTAATGTTTGGACACCAAGAAAGCAGCCGCTTGTAGTCACGAGTCCCAAATATGCTGTTCACAGTGCCTGGAAGTCCACTGCATCCTCCATGTCATCCAGCAAGCTTTTCAAATGATCTCCCTGACACGTGGCAAATCATTGCAACGCTCACACGAGCTGAACGCCACCGAATTCTGTGAGTGACTGCGTCGGGTCGGGACAGCTCCGTGGCTGGGCCACCGGCCACCTCGGTCTCTAAGCCACGACTCACCCGGACCCACTTGTTCCTAGCTTCTTGTTACTACTAGTAAGGCACCTGTTACTACTAGCGTGGCACTTGTTCTTAGTAGCTTCTTGTTACTAATAGCTTCTTGTTACTACTAGTAAGGCACCTGTTACTACTAGCGTGGCACTTGTTCTTAGTAGCTTCTTGTTACTAATAGCTTCTTGTTACTACTAGTAAGGCACCTGTTACTACTAGCGTGGCACTTGTTCTTAGTAGCTTCTTGTTACTAATAGCTTCGTGTTACTACTAGTAAGGCACCTGTTACTACTAGCGTGGCACTTGTTC